CGCTTTGTGATCCTTATGTATCCTTGATCTCTATGTGGCATCTAGCCTGAGAAGAGCCCCAACAAGACTTGGTGCTTACTAAGGAGACGGGGTAAGAGATAGGAAGAGAATGGCTCCGAAAGGGCACTGAAAGCTCCTGACCATTTCCACATCATCAGTTTCAGCAGCCAGGCCAGGCAGGCAGTAGACCGAGCACCAGGCTGGGGGAAGTGGGCAGAGCCATCCCTCTCTGGAAAATCATGCCTTGTGGAAGGACAGCATAGACAGAGCTGGATTCGAGTTCTAGTTCTATCACACAGCGGTTGCGGGTCTTTGAGTAATTTTCTTAGTATGTCTGCGTCTCTGTTTCTTCATCCACAAAGGAAAAACACCACCTCTACCTGCTTCAGTGAGTGTGAGGATTAAGTGAGAATATATTTAAAGCACTTAGCACGAAATAAATGACAGCTTATCCATAGAGCAGAACACTACTGCCGTCTCAGACACAATAACAGGAAGCCGTGCTTACTGGCATCTGCTGGCAGAGAAAGATGCCGCACCAAATGAAGTGAATGGGCAGCCTGCAAAATACTCATTTTTGTAAGTGGATAGAGACAAATTGTTCAGAAATTCAGAAATTATTATTTCTGGCCGGTGAGCTTATAGATGTTCTTTTATTATTTTGGCTTTCTTGAGCTTCCTAGTTTCTCTACAATTAAGCACATATTGCTTATATAAAATAAAATGTTTCTATTACAAAAAAAGTACAGCACATGGTTAAGTGCTCAGTAATTAGCTAGTATGATGATGATACTTTTTTTTTTTAATGTTTTATTTATTTTTGAGAGAGAGATAGAGACAGAATGAGCAGGGGAGGGTCAGAAAGAGAGGAGTCACAGGATCTGAAGATAGGCTCCAGGCTCTGAGCTAGCTGTCAGCATAGAGCCTGATGCGGGGCTTGAACCCACAAACTGTGAGATCATGACCTGAGCCGAAGTCGGACACTCAACCGACTGAGCCACCCAGGCATCCCGATGATGATACTTTCTAAAAGCCTGCAGAGAAAAGAGCCAGGACCTGCCTGCCTCGAGAAGGCCTGGGCTGGGCCCCCACCACTGGAGAGGTAAGGTGCCTGTAACTTGAACTGGGGTAGAGAAGGGCTCTGCCTGCGTGGGCTCTCAGTCTTAGGCTCATTTTATCTCAGGCAGAAGCACCTCTCTACCTTGTCCAGCTCTCGTCATCAGGAATCTGAAGTAGGGCAGGGGAATCAAAGCTCAAAGTAGTAACGTAAGTATTTGTACACCTTCCTCCTCTGACCCTTAACTGTGCTAGAAAAGCACAGCAGAAGTGGGGGTCCCAGGGCAAACCCAGTATGTGAGACCCTGTGTTCCTGTGTGTGATCTCCCTCTCATCCCCACAATCACAGGGCGTGTGGCTATGTGGGGATATGTCGATCAGATATGAAGAAGGTCCTTTCAGAAAGAAGGACCCGAATGCACCACCAAAACATTAAACCTGGTGTCACTACCTGAAACCAGAAAGGAAAAGGACTCTGGTTTGAGACAGAATTGATGGCAAGAAGTAAATTCTGCAATGAGCTCGCCAAGAAATGGGAGCATCACGGCGAAGTGAAAATGTGGAATCAGAACTTGGAAAAGTTCTGACTTACGGGAAATCAAATAACCCCACGAAGAAGGGACAGAAACAAGAACACAAAGGAAGGGGGGGTGAGGAGGCACGGAAACAGAAGGGGCACAGGAGAGGGCGGTGGCTGGCAGCAGATGCACGAGCCTGTGACTCAGTGATCAGAGGTCCTGCGGTAGGAGCATTTCGGGAGGTCTGCTGCAGGGCAGAGGAATCAGGTCGGGTGGGAAACGTCAAGGCTGGCAGGCACTGCTGCGCCAGCGAGGCCATCACCTCGTCATTCAGCTGCTTAGCGCATAAATTCCAGAAGAATAGGTTTTGCATTTCGCTGACTACAGTGTAAAAAATAAGTTGACCGTAGGGGGAAAATATGGAAATAATTCATGGGAATACTGGTATCAACCTAGCACCTCTGAGGACTTAACCCTTCCATCTAAGCACCTGGACCACTGCCTAGGAAATAACAGGCCCCCAGGGTCAATGGTGACAGGGGAAGGTTGCTTGCATGCATGTACGTGTGCACACATATGTGGACAAATTTTCAAATGCGACCCAGCTGCAGAAAGGTCAGGGCAGTGATACCACAGAAACGTCTGACAAAGGCTGAGATGTCCATAGAGAAAAGATACTCTATAATCATTGCATAAATAACTAGAGATTGCAAAACTAAGCTCTCTATATATTCTTATGAACATGGAAAGGTCTTCAAAAATATTGTAGAGGGGAAAGTTAGAAAACGGTATTGCGATGAAATCGGAATTATATATATTTTAACTATATATGCATATATGTAAACACAAAAAAAGAACGGGAAGGACATATACCAAATTTCAACAATGGCTGCATTTGGCAAGAACAACCTAAGTGAGAAGGGCTAAGTAAGGTATTTAGAATACTTGCACAATTTTTAAAATGTTTTTATTTATTTATTTTGAAAGAGAGAGAGCATGTAAGCATGGGAGGGGCAGAGAGAGAATCCCAAGCAGGCTCCATGATGTCAGCACAGAGCTCGACATGGGGCTTGAACTCACAAACTGTGAGATTACAACCTGAGCTGAAACCAAGAGCTGGAGGCTTAAATGACTGAGACACCCAGGTGTTACAGGACTTGCATCATTTTTAAAATACAGCACTGTCGTACAATAAAAGATAAACAAAATTTGACTGTATTTTATTCTCTGCTTTTTCCTCCCAAAGAATTAAGACAAGTATAGAACCTACTAAATTTTCAAAATAAAAACTTAATTCAGGGGCGCCTGGGGGGCTCAGTTGGTTAAACCTTGATCTTAGCTCAGGTCATGATCTCACGGTTCATGGGATCCAGACCCACATCAGGCTCCACGCTGACAGTGCAAATCCTGCTTGGGATTCTCTCTCTCTCCCTCTGTGCCCCTCCCCTGCTCACACATATACACTTTCTCTCTCAAAATAAATAAACAAACTTTAAAATATTTTTAAAAATCATTTATTTTCTACAATGAAAGAGAGAAAAGGCACAAAAGAGAGAGATGTTCATAAATGCTTCTCCTAATATCATTCACAGAGATGCCTTCAATCTAGTAAAACTTCTAAAAATATCTGTAAATCCTTCTTCATCATGTTGCCTGTGTTGGAGGGGAATACCAATAAACAGGATGGTTCCCTGAATAAAGCACTTTCTTTATTCAAAAATATAAAGTGATGGCTCCTGAGATACATTGAAACTGTAATTAAGTCTGCTGCAGGGGGGGACAAACAACTCCATTTTGGGGTTTATTGCTTTTTTAATGTATCCTTTAATAATAATGTATCCTGGTAATTGAGTAAAGCAAGTTAGAAGTGTACATTTATATAGTGATATATAATATGTGTATATATATATATATATATACATATATATAAGTGCTCATGTATACTTTCTCCTAATAGTGTAAATATTGTTATTCTTCCTCTGGTTCAGTGCTTCTCAACCAGGAGTAATGTTGTCCCCCAGGGAATACTGAGCAATGTCTGGAGACATTTTTGGCTGTCTCCACTGGGGGTTGGAGGTGGATACTCCTGGGACCTAGTGGGCAGAGGGCAGACATGTTGGGAAATATCCGACAATGCATAGGACACCTCCCCCCCACCCCCATATACACACAATGAAGAATTACTCAGTCCAGAAAATCAATACTGCCAAGGATTAGGAACCCTACTTGAAACCTAAAATTGTAGCGCTATTTTAAATATTGAAAAAAAATTGAAAAGTAATGATATGTTAAAGCTATTCTCTTATAAGTAGAATTAGGTAAAGAGTATGGATTTGAAAATAAAAATAGGGGATTGATAGTCCTAAAAATTCAACTCTGAATCCTGGTTACCGACTTTGTAACAATGAATGAGTTAAGGTTTCTGCCTCCATTTCCTCAACTCCAAAATTGTAACTAGAAGATCTACCTTTTAGGGTCACTGTGAACATTAAGCCAGTCAGTCTCAGCCCCCTGTCCTCCACTGACCTGGTACATAGCAAAAATGCAGTATTCATTCCCATCCTCCTCTTCCTCCCCTCCCCCTACGATCCATTCCAATTACACCAAATTACAATCATAGTCTCACCAGAGATTCACTATGAGATGGTACAGCAATTCATAAATTTCAAGAGTAATGTGATACTAACATGTTAAATAGTATCATGACTGAAAATAGGTGAGAGTAGAGGGATTAAGTATTTTATTTGAAGACCACAGTCACAATTTCTCCTTCATTTTAAGACTAAAAAAAATTCAAGGGATGTCTGGGTGCCTCAGTCGGTTAAGTGTCTGGCTTCCGCTCAGGTCATGATCTTACGGTTCATGAGTTCAAGCCCCATGTCAGGCTCTGTGTTGACAGCTCAGAGCCTGGCACCTGCTTCGGATTCTCTGTCTCCCTCTCTCTCTGCCCCTCCCCAGCTTGCTCTCTCTCTCAAAATGAATAAACATTAGAAAAAATTTTTAAGATAAAAACTTCACATATAATCCTTTTTTTATTTGCCTCGCATATGCAATTTTTATTTATTTTTAATAGTTTATTGTCAAGTTGGTTTCCATATAACACCCAGTGCTCATCCCCACAAGTGCCCTCCTCCATGCCCATCACCCCCCTTCCCCTCCCCCCCACCCCCATCAGCCCTCAGTTTGTTCTCAGCATTCAAGAGTCTCTCATGGTTTGCCTCCCTCCCTCTCCCCCACTATTTTTCCCCTTACATATAATCCTTTTAATTTGAATACATCTACTCTATCAAAATGCTACATCCACCATTGTAATGGAGGTGAACAGAGACGTACAAAGGGAGGGAAGAAGAAAGGAACCATGATGGTAGTAGGTCTCCAATTCATTAAGACCATTCAAAAGGGGTGGAAGATAATGATGGGACCTACTTTGGTGGTGATCCTATACGTAATGTAGGTCTCCATGGTACAGACATGCTTCTTGGGATCATCAACCGTGACAAAGAGGTCTCTTGTCTCACCATCAATGTCATCATCAAGCTGAAGTCTGTTGAGAAGGGAGGATGAAGAAGCCGGACTTGAAGTACCTGCTGGAGTACCACCGTTGGGCAAAATGAGATCCTGAAAGAAAAGAGTCACCTTACAAATGAAATGAAAACACACATCTGGAGAACATCAGCAAAAGTGGCTGCTTTTAGCCAAACCAAGAAACACCTCTAAATATAAAAGTCATGTTCAAAGAAACTGAACCTTTACTTAACATTTCTTTACTTAACATTTCTTTTTTTAAAATTTTTTATATTTTGAGAGAGAGCAAACATGGGCGGGAGAGGGGCAGAGAGAGAGGGAGAGAGAGAATCCCATGCAGGCTCTGTACTGTCAGCGCAGAGCCCAATGTGGGGTTCAAACTCAAGAACCACCAGATCATGACCTGAGTTGAAACCAAGAGTCAGACGCTTATCCGACTGAGCCACCCAGGCACCCTTTATTTAACATTTCTCAAGTGAACAGGTCTTCTGTGACCAAGAGAAACACACTATGGCAGTACTCTACCAGATCCATGCCAACTCATTTTCCAGCAAGCACTGGAGGAGCCACCAGAAGCAAACAGCTGAGGGACAGAGCACAAATGGCCCCACTATCGCGAGACTGACAGAGAGAGTGCCGTGCGCACACCACAAGAGCATTCCCTTTTGGTACCTTTTCTCAAGGCCACCTGCGCCCAGGTAAACATCAACACATCTGAACCCTCTTAAATACTCAGCACAGCTAAAATCTCAATCAGCCATCACAAAGGACATTATGTGCCTCCTGAAAGCAGTTCACACCACCACCTAAAAAGTACATTTGCCAAAATATTGAATCTGAAGCCTGAACAAATCTCTAGACACAATATCAAATTGTAGGAAATATAGAGGAATGGCAGAGATATTAAACCATACTATTAATATAAATCAGAAAAACCCACACTCTATGAAATTAAAGAGAACCAAAGACTGAGTTTCTTCAATAAATGAACTGCAAGGAGAAAGAAAGATAGAAGTAGCACCTAAGAGATGTAAAGCAATCTGAGAGACCTACTGACAACTGCAGTGGATCCTGATTAGAACATAACATTAGGGTTGCCTGGGTGGCTCAGTCGTTTAAATGTCCGGCTTCAGCTCAGGCCATGATCTCACAGTTAGTGGGTTCAAACCCCGCATCGGGCTCTGTGCTGACAGCTCAGAGCTTGAAGCCTGCTTTGGATTCTGTCTCTCTCTGCCCCACCCCTGCTCGCTTGCTCTCACTCTCTCAAAAATAATAAACATTAAAAAAAATGTTAGCAGATTTCATGATAGTCAGGGAAATGTAAATATTGATCCGTTATTTGATAGTATTTAGAAATTTATTAGGTGTGATAATAGAAGTATTAGGATTTTACAAAGTCCTCATCTCTTAGGAATATGTGTGAAAATATTCATGGATGAAATGATAGGATGTGTGGTATTTGCTTCAAAATCATTAAGGATAGGTAGACAGAGATATAGATGATACAAGATGTGCCAAGGTTGATAACTGTAGACAATATCTGCAGGTTTCTCCTCTTTTGTGTATGTATAAATTTGTCCACAATATAAAAGTATTCAAATGGGGGGAGGGGCACAAATGCCATAAAAGAAAGAGATGGAAAATCTTTTAAATTATGGACCTCTTTTTAGGCCTTAGTAGGAAGCCACTCAATTAAATCATGTTCCTGCAAAGGTATATCCAGAAAAGGTACAGCCGATCTTACCTCTTTGGCTTTTGGGTTTAATAACAGACAAAGCTCTGTCTAGCAGTAGGTGTGAATACATCTCTATGTCACTTTGGAGTCCTCGGGAGGCAAAGACTAAGAAAGACGATAAGAGACAGGACACCATGGAAAAGGCCTTGGAAAGTCTTGTCCTGCTGGTCATCAGATCCCAGGCTGGGGATGGAGAGATGCTTTTACCTGAATTCTCTCTTCTTGTTGCAGGCTGGGTACAACTTGGCCCCCAGGGAAGAGGACACAGAGGAAATGAGGGTCCACCTAGCAGTCATATCCATGGGCTCTAGCTGAAAAGAGGGCGGTGACAAGGCAGAGTCTGGGGTCAAGGGCAATGTCACCCAACTCAATGGATGCTGGAAAGTAAACAGACAAGGCGCCTTCCTTTGTCTCCATTTCTAGGTGTAGATACTCGGATCACATGCATGTTTACACAACGCCAATAATGGTTTTTTGTGGCTACTGAAACAATTCCATTTCACAGAAGAGCCCACTTTCCACCTCTCCTCAGCCCAAGGGCTTGTCGGCCGGGAAGGCGGACCCCATGACCGCTGCCCTCAGTGTGGACGTGACCGCAGAACCTGGCTACAGCAGCATCCGGCTCATCTGACTGCCCTGACCGCACACAGGGCACAAGGTGGCCACACCCCCGCATCTAGGGATCTGAGGATATTTCCTCCTGAGCTCTGCGAGAATAACCATCGTGCCTCCCTCGTTTCAGTAAATATTTAAATGCTGACCTCAGGCAAGGCCCACGCTGGGCACTGCAGGGGCCCACCCTTACTTACGTTTCCTCCACACTCGCACACTGGGCCTCAGCATGGCCCTACCGATGGCCAAGCATTGCACAAGGGAAGCAAAGGACTCAAAATCTTTAGTCAGATAAGCCAACGCGGGCTCTGACAGCAGCTTTCCACCATCTGGACCGGACAGATCTTCCCGGCCTCATTTCTCATGGCATCAGTTCCGGAACCCACCGTGCCGTTTCGGGCCCCTCACCTTTGCTTACAAAGCTGCCCCTCTTTTTCATGCCTCGGTCTCCAAGTAGCTCACTTGAATCTGCTCACATGCAGCCTCCCCTTGGAATCCTTCCTGAATCCACCCCCGGCATAAATTAGCTACTCCTTCTCAGTACTTTGAAGATACTGCCACTGAAGCAGTTTTCTGGGTTGCTTTTTTTTAAAGTTTATTTTATTTATTTTTAGAGAGACAGAGCACACAGCAGGGGCAGAGAGAGAGGGAAAGGGAGAGAATCCCAAGCAGCCTCACACTGTCAATGCAGAGCCCGATGTGGGGCTCAGACTCAAGAATCGTGAGATCATGACCTGGGCCAAAATCAAGAGTCTGACACTTAATCGACTGAGTCACCCAGGCGCCCCAGCAGTTTTTAGTTCCAGTCATATATTTACATATGCAACATCCGCAAACACTGCGAGTCCCCAACAACTGTGACTGTGTCTTGTTCACCTGTGTGTGTATGTGTGTGTGTGTGTGTGTGTGTGTGTGTGTGTGTACACATCTGTTTGCAGGTCTCTCAGGGACTCCAAGCCAACTCCCCTGACCTTTGCTCCGGGGACCTCTGCCAATAACTTTCCAAAAGCAGCCCACACAAAGGTCTGTGATGTCTTGGCTGGACAGCAGGAAGTTAGCTTGTTCTCAAGTCAGTTCGTGGGGGCGGGTGAGGGGGAGAGAGAGTCAGTTCAGCAGACCTTATCACACTGAAGATTCTTTCCTCCCAGGACTATGTGACCAGGGAAACACTCAGACCCTGACTATCAGGCATTTCATGGAGAATTATGTAAGCACATACGAACAGCTGACAACCTACAAGTGACTAATTTCCTAAAACAGGAGCCCCCAGCCCAGCTTTCCATGGCACGTGTGCACAGTGTTCCCACATTCTTTATATATATGTCTATATATATACACACACTTATATATATACACATATATATAAAGAATACATTTTTTTTTTGAGAGAAAGAGAGAGAGAGAGAGAGAGAAAATCTCAAGCAGGCTCCACACTGTCAGCACAGAGCCTGATGCGGGGCTCAAACTCACCAAACATGAGATCACGACCTGAACTGAAGTCAGACGCTTAACCAACTGAGCCCCCCAGGTGCCCGTTTCCACATTCTTATTTCATTATAGCTCATGTCAGCCTTGTGAGGTTAGCAAGACAGATATACTGTCTCAACCAAGGAGGAGGCAACTCAAAAAGGTTAGGTAATGTGTCCAAATGAAGCTAGTCATTGCTATGCTAAGAGTTGAATGCAGGTTTCTAGTTCTTAGTTCAAGGTTCTTATCAAGCTGAACGCCTTTTGCGTGGCTTTTTCCGTTTTTTCCAACAATGGCCCTCCCCTCACCTCCCCTCATCTCCATCATCTGGCCATAAATCCTTCTGGGTAAATATGAAGCTTCTGTTTTTAAAGCCAGTCAAGGGAAGCTAATAGTTCCCTCAGGGTCTTAATACAAGTTATGCCCCCAAATGATTCCTTCTCAAGATATGGTCCCCATGAGAAGCAAACGTGGAGGTAAAGTATGGAAATCTTAGGAGGAAAGGGCAGCCCAAGTACTATAGCAGCGGGTGTGCTACGCTGAGAGACCTAAGCCCTCAAGCAGGTGCTGTGGGACAGCAGCACGTTTCTGACCAACAGGAATCATGGAATGCGAGAAGTGACAGAATTCTGGCTCAACTCAGAAGTCTCCTGGTTCATACCTGCTACCCTAGGGGCAGGTTCCAGGCTGGAGCCAGACAGCTCTTTGAGAAATGTCAATCAGAGCATGCTCTTCCCCTGCTCAAAGCTCTCAAAGACATCCACTCACATTCAGAATCTAATCCAATCTCCCTCCCGTAACCCATAAGGGCCAATGTGACCTCATCATTCTCCCTGACCTTCATCCTTGACGTTCTTCCCTGGCTTCTCATGTTCCCGATGCACAGATCTTGGCTCGCCAAGACCTGAGTGCTTCCGTGTTTGCTGCCCACTGTGCCTGCACCAGTCCTCTCCCCTCACACTCCCATGTGACTGGCTCTTTTCTTCAAATAGGTTCCTGCTAGGGGCGCCTGGGTGGCTCAGTTGGTTAGGTATCCAACTTCGGCTTGGGTCGTGGTCTCACGGTCCATGGGTTTGAGCCCTGCGTCGGGCTCTGTGCTGATGGCTCAGAGCCTGGAGCTGCTTCAGATTCTGTGTCTCCTTCTTTCTCTGCCCTTCCCCCGCTCATCTCTCTCTCCCTCTCTCTCTCTCTTTTTCTCAAAAATAAATAAACATTAAAAAAAATTTTTTTTTAAATAGGTGCCTGCTCAAATGACACCTACTCAGAGAGGCCTTCTCAG